GGTCTGTTCGGGTTTTCTACTTCACTGTGTGTAAGTTTAGATAGGTCGTGTTTATCTAAAAATGTATCCATCTCTTCTAAGTTTTCAAATTTGTTGGAGTACAACTCTTCATAATATTTTTGTTATTATCCTTTTGATTTCCTTTGGTTCCATTGTGACATCGCCCATGTCGTTTCTAATGTGTATTATTTGTGTTTGGAAATGGTCTGTCAATTTTGTTAATCTTTTCAACGAACCCGTTTCTTGTCCTGTTGATTCTTTCTATTTTTTTTTTTCTGTTTTATATCTCATTTATTTCTGCTCTAATCTTTGTTATTTCTTTTCTTTTGGTGTCTGTGGGTTCCCTCTGGTGGTCTGTTTCAAATTGTTGTAGATATTGTGTTAGCGTGTTAATTTTGGTTCTTCCTTCTTTTTGGATGTGTGTGTGTTTATTACAATAAATTGTCCTCTCGGCCCTGCTTTTGCTGTGTCCCAAAGATTTTGGTATGTTGTGTTTTCATTCTCAATCGTTTCTAGGAACTTTGTGAATTCACATTTAATTTCTTCTACTACCCAGTCGCTTTTTCAGCAAGGTGTTATTCAGTTTCCATGTATTTGACTTTATTTCCTTGATTTCCTATTGTTGATTTCTTATTTGATAGCATTGTAGTCTGAGAAGATGCTTTGTAGTCGTTTGATATTTGTACATTTATGGAGATTTGTTGTGTGGTCTAACACATGGTCTATTCTGGAGAATGTTTCATGTGCACTGGAAAAGAATGCGTATTGTGCATTTGTTGGGTTGAATGCTAAGTACACATCTATGAGGTCTGTTTGACTGATTGTGTTGTTTAGTTCTTCTGTGTCTTTGTCAAGTTTCTTTCTGGTTATTCTGTCCATTTTTGAAAGCCGTGTATTATAATCACCCACTATTATTGTAGCTTCAACTATTTCTTTCTTCAAATCTATTAAAGTTTGCTTTATATATTTTGGAGCTCTTTCATTGGGAGCATAGATATTTATTATGGTTATGTCATCTTGTTCAATTGTTCCTTTAATCATGAGATAATATACATCTGTATCTATTACGCTGATTGTCACCTTAAAGTTTATTTTATCAGAGATTAATATTGCCACTCCTATTCGTTTTTTATTGCAAATAGCTTGGGTTTTTTTTTCCATATTTGTCTTTTAATCTGTTTTTGTCTCTGTGTGTGAGATGTGTCTTTTGCACACAGCATGTTGAAGGATTTTGTTTTCTTATCCATTCTACCATTCTCTGTCTCTTAACAGGTGCATTTAATCTGTTTACATTCAGTGTAATTATTGATCGGTATGGATTAATTCCTACCATTATGTTTGTTTTTTTATGGTGGTGTTGTGTTCTTCTGTGTGTCTTCCTTTGTTGAGTTCATGCTTTTTGTGTTCTTTCTTGTGCATTTCCTCATAGTTTTAATGTTTCCATGTTCTTCTTGGATTGTCATTATCTTGATAGTTGTGAATTGGTAATTTTTTTTGAGGTTGCCTTATAGTTCAAAAACGTTTATCTCCATTTAGTACAGACTATTTTATCCTGTAATCTACCTGACCTTCTCACCATCTGGATCTCTGTACCTACATGTTTACCTTGTTTTACATTGTAATTGTTTTGATCATAGACAGACCTCCCAGATTCTCTTGAGTTTGTTCTTACAGTTTTGTTCTGTTCTTGACTCTTCCTTCTGTTGATTTAATTCTGGGAGGTGTTGCCACATACGTCAGTCTCTGGTTGTTGTCTATTCCTGATGGTTCTTAGTCTACAGAACTCCCTCTAGGATGTTTTGTAGCACAGGGTTGGCTTTGGGAAAATCCCTTAGCTTCTGTTTATCCTGGAATGTTTTGATTACACCGTCATATTTGATTGATAGCTTTGCTGGATAAAGGATTCTTGGTTGGCAATTTTTTTCTTTCAGATTTTTATATATGTCTCCCCATTGCCTTTTTGCTTGCATGGTTTCTGCTGAGGGATCCGAATTTAGTCTGACTTGCTTGCCTTTGTATGTAACATTTCTGTTTTCCCTGGCAGCTTTCAGGAGTGTCTCCTTATTTTTGATTTTGGAAAGCTTGATTATGGTATATCTCAGTGATTTTCTTTTGGGGTCTGTTGTTCTTGGGGTTTGTTGACTTCTTGAATGCTTATCCTTTCACTTTTCGGGAAGTTAGAGAAATTTTCTTCCACCAGTTCCTCAACTATTTCCTCTGTGGACTTGTGTGATTCTTCTTGTTCTGGAATGCCGATAATTCTTAAGTTATTCCTCTTCATGTTGTCCAACATGAATCTTAGACCTATTTCAGATTTTTTTAATCCTTTTTTTCTGTTTGCTCTTCTATTTTAGTGGTATTGAGAAATTTGTCTTCCAGCTCATTGGTTCTGCCGTCCATCTCTTCTATTCTACTCCTTTGCCCTTTCAGAGTATTGTCTATTTCTGATATTTTATTATTGATGGTTTGGACCTCTTTCTTTAAGTTTTGAATTGTTTCCAATGCTGTATCTATCTTATTTGATTGTTCCTGTTGCGCTTTCCTGACTTCTTTATTTTTCTCAACTCCATTGTAAAGTGTTTTGAAACATTTTATAATCATTTTTCTGAATTCCTTCTCAGGCATTTCCAATGCCTGCCCTCTTTCCAGAATGTAGTACATTCTACCTGTAGCTCATTTGTCTCAGACATTTTGATCTTGTTTCTGGACATGTGCTGATATGGTCATCTGCTTTTGCTACTTGGATATGTTTAGTGTTTATCTGTTGCCTTAATTATGTGTTTTGTTGTTTTTTATGCTTTCTGATTTCTTCCAGGTAGATGTGATCAGGATGTGGTTTTCCCTTTTCACTCTTATTATTGCTTAACTCAGAGTAACTTTCACAGGTGTTGTCTGCCTCCCTGGTATATGGCAGTTGGTATTGGTTCTTGCCTGGGTTTTGGTGTTTTATAGAGTGATTGTAGCTTGATTATATGGCAGTAGTTGCTGACTCTTCTTGGTCAATATAGGTAGAGAAAGAGTCCCCCAAAGGTAGAAGGGGGAGCATAAAAGATGAAAACAGCACCAGCAAAAGACAAACAAACAAACCCAAACAACGACAACAAGACAAAACTAGACTGAATACTGCCGTCTATGATAATCACAGAAAAGGGAGTGGAGGAAGAGAAATACTGTAGCCTGATATGAGTATGTCTTTAATGTACTCTCATCTGCTTCTTCCTTTCAAAGTTGCCTGAGAGAGTTCCAGATGCCAGTGTTAGTTGTTATGCTATACCTCATGCTTTTATTTAATTTTCGGCCTGTTTTTTATTTTTTAAAGAAAGCCCTTGTTCCCTCTCTATAGCCCATCCTGGCCTTTCCCGTATTAAAAAAAAAAAAAAAAAAAAAACCATTCAGGGCCTGCTCCTGGGCTGAGTATCTGTGCGTGTCTGTGGCAGAAGAACTCAGCAGTGGTGAGGGTGGGGGGTGTTCACTCGCTCAGTTACCCCCTCCAGTCACCAGAATGAAGGTGTGCAAACAGTGGAGGAGGGCCAATGGCCAGATACCAAAAAAGAAAATCAAAACAAAGCAAAACTGACAAAGTATGCTGTCCACCTTTGCTCCAAGGCTTCCGAGGCGTTATTCTGTGGTGTTTGTGCTCCTCTGCTTGGTCTTGCCATTTGGTCTTGCCCAAGATGTTACTTCCAGGCCTCCGAGTCTGGCAGATTCAAAAGTACGCAATTTCTTACTTCAGCAAGTTCCAGTAACTATAAGCCTTCGAAGTTTTAAAATATTCCTAGCTATGTGCTTCCAAGTTTTGGAGCTCTGCCCTGGATCTGCTTTGCCTGGTATTCTGTGGTATGGCTGATGGTGAACTTCACTGTGCCTCCACCCTAGCCGCCATCAAGCCCCGCCTCCTCCGACCCATCAGGTTTTCATTGCATGGTTTTCTGAAGTAGATCACCAGGCCTTTGTTAATTCATTTTAGTCTACAAGCTCTGCTGAAACCTGTTAAGTGCCATTGAGTCAGTTCCGACTCATAACGACCCTGTGTAGGGTTTCTGTGAAGCAGGTGGGTTTAAACTACCAACCTTGTGGTTCTCAGTCCAGTAGCATAATAGCAACGTTCAAGTCTCCACTGACAGACAGCTGGTGGCTAAGCATGAGGGGCACTGATGAGAATCAAACTCATGATAGAGAATCAAAGGGGAAAAAGAAAAAAGGCCCATTAGTCCCTTCACCTACAAAATGAGGGGGTTAGCCTCAGTGTGGCCTAAAGTCTCTAGCTACTCAAGTATTACGACAATCAGCAGCTAAGTTTTCCATGATGATTTCCATTAACAGTTAATACCATGACTGACCTTTTAAAAATAATTTGTCATATAACATGAGGATGAAGAACTCCATGTTAGGAAAAACAAAAATGATATTTGCTCCTCAGCTAAGGTGATGTATTTATAACATTCCATATATTAGAAAGAACATACACAAGAATGCCACGTTACAGACTTTCCATGTTGCACTGCTAATTGGATCTGCCTATACATCTTTTTTATAAAACAACATATTTATTACCCTTAAGACTGGGAACATGATTTGACCTACATTTATAACAAAATCTAATACAACGAATTCTATGCTTTCATTAAAGATTCAAAATATTTGTTCTACTTATTTTGTCTGAGATGACTTAGGGAAGATTTAGGAGAATAAAAGAGAATTTGAGTGATACACAGTTGCATGTTTTATAACTTTTAGATGAATAATATAGTATATTATAGTTACATTAAAAAAATCAAAACTTATTGTGTCTTTGGTTTAATATAGTAGTTGATAACTTTTTCCCCCCGTTTCAAATTTAGCTCCAATAGTTACCAGCAAATTACCTCTCAAAATATAAGATATATTTAATAACTTAATATATTTATCATGAAAGGTTGATGTTTTTCTAACAATATACACTTTTTTTTAAAAAGGTATAAAACCAAGGAAACGAAAGACTTTTGCCTTGCCAGGAATAATTAAAAAGGAAAAGGATGCAGAATCTGTGTAAGTATATTAAATATTGTTAAGATCATTTTCAAGATTCTAGTGATGCCTAAGAGAAAACCAGTGCTCAAAATTTGGTGGAAATTTTTCTAGATAGCTTTAAACCTGTAGATACACAGTGGTGTATGAATGCATACATGGAAAATGTTGAATGAGGGAGATCAAAAGCCCTAACCTGTAGTACTGTTTGTAGTGAAGATCGTTTTTTATACATCTGATTTATCTTCTTTTTAAAAAATCAGAGATTAATATGCAAAGAATATATAACTAGCAATAAGAAATTGAACTTTTATTAGCAAAGCAGAGTTTTCCATTTTGGCTACATACTAAGACTAAAATAAAGGGAAATTAAATACACTTATATCCAGGCCCTTCCTCAGAACAATTAAGTCAAATTCTCTGTGAGTAAGACCCCAGCATAGTTTATATTTTTATAAGTAGCCCATGTGATTCGTAAAAGGCACAGTGGATTGAGACTCATTGAACTATGATTAATCAGAGACAGATTAAAATTAAAGGAATCTTTCTTTGTACAACTTGTTCAGATTGAGGAGATACTAGTAAGTCTTAGATGATTTATTGAATATAACTTGGCTATAGATTAATTATAAATCTCCATTCTCTAGCATAATTAGTTAAAACTCTCATGAGATTTAATATTTTGATGAGCCTTTATATTTTCTACTTAATTGTTTTTTTATTTATTTCAACTTTTTAATGTGAATTGAATGAGTGTTTACAGACAAGACAATCAGTTTTGCATTCAACAAATCATACACTTTGTTTCAACTCAGTGATTGCAGTCAAACAATGATTGCAACGATAATTGACCTGCTTCCTCCCTGTGGCTGGCTACCCATGTAAAAATATCCTCTTTTAGACTCTTATATATTGTAGAATATATACATATATCTATATGCCACTCCTCTTCACATACCCTTCAACCTGTGTCTTGTTCAAGTTGGCTCTAACTAATGGTGAGCCCATGTACAACAGAATGAAACCTTTCCTGATTCTGCGCTCTCGTCATGATTGGTGGTATGCTCTAGACCATGGTTATGCCCGCTGTATTTTGATTGCCTACCAAGCTCGGAGTCTAATCGTCCAGCGCTCTATTGGACAGTATTCTGTTGTGATCCAAAGAGTTTTCATTGTCTAATTTTCAGACATAGATCACCAGGCCTTTATTCCTAGTCTGTCTTAGTCTGTAAGTTTCACTGAAAACTGTGCACCCTTCATGAGTCTGCTGCGATTTGAAATAATGATGGTGTTGCTCCAGCATCATAGCAACACACAATTTACCACAACAAGACAAACTGACACATGGAAGGTATGGCCTCACCTCCTACCTAGTTTCTATCATCTGAGTTTCTTCAGTTTTTCCCATTCTCAATGTATGTCTCTTACTCCTTTTGAGGGACATTTTGTTAACAAATGAAGAACATTCATAAAGTGACTGTCTATTGTTAACATCTCTTCTGTAAATGTTTTTCTTGAGCTTTTTAAGAGGGGACTATTTAAGGAGCTCTGGTAGCGTAGTGGTTACAAATTGGGCTGCAAACTGCAAGGTCAGCAGTTCGAAACTACCAGCTGTTCCGCGGAAGAAAGATGAGGCGTTCTGCTCCCGTAAAGATGTACAGGGTCACTATGAGTCAGAACAGACTCCACGGCACATACCAACAACAACAACTTACCTGAAGGGATTGGGATCTGATTTCATTCTGTATATGTTTTAAATATTAAAAAGATATTTTATTTGATCTAATATATGCAAAATATTACCAACTTGTGATCTACTTTTGAAAATCAGCCAATGAAACTGTATGATTTTTACAACAATTATAACAAAAAGCAAAAAAAACTCTTACTTGATTAGAACACTCCAATTTCATTGTTCATGGAGTCACCATGAGTCGAGGGTTGAGTCAGGGGCCAACTCCAAGGCAGCTAACAACAACAACAATCATTTTTCAATATGCAGTCAACATTCATCAGCTGTATTGGGCACTGACCCCCTTGACCAAGCTTAGAAAATGTTGGAGGACAGGCCCCGAGGGCTGTGTTCTTTTAAAACCTTTATTTTAGTAAAATGTAACATAAATTTTGCCATTTTACCCATTGTAACTCAGTAGCATTAATTACATTCACAGAATTGCACTATGAACACTGCTATCTATTCCCAAAGCTTTATCATCAAACCAAACAGAAGCTTTGTACCCATTAAAGCTCTTTCCCTCTTTCTCCTTGGATTGAAAGCTTTCATGATGTCAAGCTAACATACTTGTGTATTTGTAGAAAAGAAGTACTTGTGAAAGTAATTTCAAAATACCTAAAAGTTGTTTATATTTTATTTTGTCATGAATTATATGGATATGGGAAACTTTTTATGAATATTTAAATAATTTGGTGACTTTTAATCTTCGTATTTCAGTTTATCTAAATATCTTTGTAGCGTTTAATAAGAAAGTGAAGTTTAATAAGAAATAAGTATATTTCGTACAGTGTTCTAATTGTTGCATATTTATATTTTGTTTAATAGGGAATGTCCCGATGCAGATTCGCTTGTAAGTAGACCTAACCATATCCATGTTATTGTAAATTTCTTATTAAGATTCTTTTATAGATGCATTTTAGATTACATTGCCAGATACTTTCCTATGGAATAGAATGTTTTTCTAACTGCCTTTGAAAAGTAGATGTTTTACATTTGAAATTGGAGTGGTGGTATATCATTTTGCTTTTTCTTGGAAAAATGCCAAATATAAAATTTGCTTACTACATTCTAAAAAGCAGTGTTTTTACTAATTTAGTCTTGTTCTTGTTGTTAAGTCCTGTCGAGTCAGTCCCAACCCATGGTGACCCTGTATTGAGTTTCTGACGAACAGCTGGTGAGCTTTTAACTGCCGACCTTGAGGTTCAGAAACTTTGCAGTCCAGTGCGTTAACCCATTTTGAATCTGACAACCACATGGTTTTCTATGCTGGGAATGACACATTGAAGAGGAATGCTGTTGCATTCATTGTAAAAAAGCACATATCTAGATCAGTCATGAGGTACAATTCTGTCTGTGATAGGACAATATACATGTGCCTACAGAGAAGACCAGTTAATGACACTATTTGAATTTATGTACCAACCACAAAAGCCAATGAGGATGAAATAAAAGAATTCTACCAACTTCTTCAATCTGAAATTGATCAAACATGCAATCAAGATGTATTGATCATTACTGGTGATTGGCATGAAAAGCTTGGGAGCAAAGAGGAAGGATCAGTAGTTGGAAAATATGGCCTTGGTAATAGAAATGATGCTGGAGATAGCAAGATAGAATTCTGCAAAATCAGTGATTTGTTCATTTCAAGTACCTTCTTTAGACAGCATAAGAGATGACCTCACCAGATGGAATACACAGAAATCAAATTGACTACATCTGTGGAAAGAAACGATGGAAAAGCTCTACATCATCAGACAAAAGAAGGCCAGGGACAGATTGTGGAAGAGACCATCAATTGCTCATAATGAAATTCAAACTGAAGCTGAAAAATGAAAACAAGTCCATGGCAACCAAAATATGACCTTGAATATATCCCACCTGAATATAGAGATCATCTGAAGAACAGATTTGATACATTAAATACTAAAGACTGAAGACCAGAAGAGTTGTGGGATGACATCAAGAACATCATACAGGAAGAAAGCAAAAAGTCATTCAGAAGACAAGAAAGAAGGAAAAGATCAAAATGGATGTCAAAAGAGACACTGAAACTTGCTGTTCAGCATTTGCTGTCTAAAGCAAATGGAAGAAATGAGGAAGTACAAGAGATGAACAGAAAATTTCAAATACCAGCTCGAGAAGATAAAGTCAAATATTACAACAAAATGTGCAAAGATCTGGAATCAGAAAACCAGAAAGGAAGAACACACTCAGCATTTATCAAGCTGGGGGAACTGAAGAAAAAAATTCAAGCCTCAACTTTCACTATTGAAGGTTTCTCTATGCAAATTATTGATTGATGCAGAAAGCGTCAAAAGAAGATGGAAGGAATACACAGAGTCACTGTACCAAAAGTAAATAGTTGATGTTCAACCATTTCAAGTGGTACAGCATATGATCAAGAACCAATGGTACCGAAGGAAGAAGTCCAAGGTGCATTGAAGGAATTGGCAAAGAACAAGGCTCCAAGAATTGATGGAATAAAATTTGAAATCTTTCAAGAAAGTGAAGCGGAGGTACTCATTCATGTCTGCCAAGAAATTTGGAAGACACCATCTGGCTGACTGATTGGAAGAGGTACATATACGTGCCCATTCCAGAGAGAGGTGACCCAATGGAACATGGAAATCATTGGACAGCATCTTTGATAGCCCATGCGAGTAAAGTTTTACTAAAGGTAATACAGAAATGGCTGTAAGCACACATTGACAGAGAACTTCCAGAGGTTCAAGCTGGATTCCGAAGGGGCAGTGGAATGAAGGCTATCATTGGTGATGTCTGATGGATCTTGGCTGAAAGCAGAGAACATCAGAAAGATATTTACCTATGCTTTATTGACTATGCACAGGCTTTCGATTGTGTGGATCATGACAAGCTATGGACATTATGAAGTATGAGTATTCTGGAACACTTAATTGTGCTCATGAGGAATCTGTACCTGGATCAAGAGGTAGTTGTTCGAATAGAACATGGGAACGCTGAATGGTTTAAAATTAAGAAAGGTGTGCGATAAGGTTGTATTCTTTCACCGTACTTACTCAACCTGTATGCTGAGCAGATAATCCCAGAAGCTGGGTTATATGAAGAAAAATGTGGCATCAGGATTGGAGGAAGACTCATTAACAACTTGCGATATGCAGATGATACAACCTTGCTTGCCGAAAGTGAAGAGGACTTAAAATATTTACTGATGAATATCAAAGACCACAGCCTTCAGTATGGATTGTATCTCAATGTAAAAAACACAAAAAATCCTCATCACTAGACCAGTAAACAACATTCTTATCAAGGGAGTAAAGATTGAAGTTGTCAAGGACTTCATTCTTCTTGGATCAACTATCAACACTCATGGAAGCAGTAGTCAAGAAAACAAATGATGTATTGCATTTAGCAAATCTACTGCACAAGACTTTTTTTAAGTGTTGAAGAGCAAAGTCATTTTGAGGACTAAGGGTGTGCCTGACCCAAGCCATGGTATTTTCAGTAACCTATATGCATGTGAAAGCTTGATAATGAATAAGGAAGACTATAGAAAATTGATGCATTTGAGTTATGGTGTTGGATGAGAGTACTGAAGGTGCCATGGGCTGCCAAAAGAACCAACAAATCTGTGTTAGAAGAAGTACAGCCAGAGTGTACCTTGGAGGCCAAGATGGCCAAACTTCATCTCTCATACTTACTTGGGACATATTGTCAGGAGGGACCAGCCACTGGAGAAGGATATCATGTTTGGTAAGGTGGCGGGTCAGAGAAAAAGAGGAAGACTGCCAGCGAGATGGATTGGCAAAGTGGGAGCATTAGTGGGCTCAAGTGTGGCAACAATTGTGAGGTTGGCCCAGGACTGGGCAGTGTTTCATTCTGTAGTACATTGGGTGACTATGAGTCGGTACTGACTTGATGGCACCTAAAAACAACAACAGTACCCACACCAGGACTCCAATTTAGTCTTAGATCTATTAAAATACTCCCCTTTTTTTTTTTTTTTAAGTTTTTATTGTGAATTATGTGATAGTTTACATAGGAGATCATTAGCTTTCCATTCATCCTATCGTATATCATTTCAATGCCATGATTACAGTCCCCTCTGTGCATCATCAAACATCCAAAGGGTATATCCCCAAAACCTGCCCCTCGGTTGTCAACACACAGGCTCTCTCTCTCTCTCTCTCTCTCTCTCTCTGTCTCTCTGGGTCTAGAGTTCCCAGCTGCTCCATCTCTCCACATTATTGTCTCTGCCTCCATCTATTGGTAGGGTCCCGTAAAAATTAAAAGGTTGCTTTTATTTCTTGTTCAAACCTGTTTTCTTATATATATAATTCAAGAAGACATCAACTGGAACTCCCTTTAGTGTCATTGGAAGAGTAAATTTACCAAATGTTGTAAGCAATGTGTATTGTTCTTTTTGTTAAGAGCTATCGAGTTGGTTCTGACTCATTGTGACCCTGTATAGGATTTCCAAGGAGCAACTGGTGGGTTTGAACTGCTGACCTTGTGGTTAGCAGTCCAGTGCTAATTCTTTAGCGCCGTGCCATGAATCCTATATATTAATATGGTAGTGGATATTTCTACTTACATAATTTGCAAGTGCTATACATATGCCCCTACCACTCATCTGTCAGTTTGTTTTACTGTGTATGGTAGCTTATCTGTTGCTGTAATAATACTGGCAGCTATGCAGTTGGTATTGTAAATACCAGCAGGATCACCATTAATGGTCAGGGTTCAATGGAGCTTCCAGACTAAGACAGACTAGGAAGAAAGAGAGGAGGACTACTTTTGAAAGGTTAGTCACTGAAAACCTTCTGAATAACAGTGGAAGCTTGCCTCATATAGTAACAGAAGATGAGACTATCAGTTTGGAAGGCATTCAAAATAGTACTAGGGAAAAGCTGCCTCCTCAAAGTAAGTCGACTTTAACGATGTGGATGGAGCAGAGCTTTTGGGACCTTCATTTACTGATGGGGCACAACTCAAAATAAAGAAGCAACAGGTACAGATATCCACTAAGAATTGCAGTGTGGAATGTTCAAAGTATGAATCTAGAATTGGAAGTTGTCAAAAATTAAATGGGAACCCATAAGATTGATATCCTAGGCATTTGTTATTGTTAAATGCCATGGAGTTGATTTCAACTTACACTGACCCTGCAAAGGATTTTTGAGGAGCAGATGGTAGGATTGAACTACTGATCTTGCAGTTCATTATCCAGTGCTGATCCTACATTGCCACACTAAGACACCCCATTCATGAGCCTAAATGGATTGAGACTGGCCATTTTTAATCTGGCAGTTCTATGGTTTACTAGGGCAGGAATGACAAATTGAAGAGGAGTAGCATCACACTCATTGTCAAAGAGCATTTCAAGCTATATCATGAAATACAGTGCTGTCTTTGATAAAATCCATCTGTCTACCCGGAATATCACTTAATAGGTCTACTATTCAAATTTACTCACCAACCACTGAGCCAGTGATATAGAAACTGAAGCATACTACCAACTACTTCAGTCTGAATATGATCAAACATGTAATCAATATGCACTGATATTTACTGGTGATCAGAATGCAAAAGTTGGGAGCAAAGAGGAAGGATCTGTAGTTGGAAAATATGATTTTGGTTTTTTATAAAAACGATACTAAAGATTACATGATAGAATCTTGCAAGACCTCACCAGATGGAATACACAGGATCAAATTGACTATACCTGTGGGAAGAGATGATGAAGTTCATCAACCAAAATAAGGCTGGAGACCAATTGTGGACCAGATCATCATTTGCTCATATTCTAGTTTAGGCTGATGCTGAAGAAAATTAAAGCAAGTTCATGAAAGCCAAAAAATGACCTAATGT